CCCGCCAGCGGAGACCGGACGGGTCTGAAATGGGCCGGGCGGAGGGGCGGGACGGGGCGGGGCTGCGCTGGGCGGGAATGGAGACCCCGCCCCGGGAGCGCGCCCCGGGAGCGCGCGCTCGACTCAACCGCCGGGAAGTCGGAGCTTTACCCGTTTAATGGAAGGAAGGGCTAAGGCACGGATGGGTATAGTTAGAGGGAGCGGCCCAGCTCAGGCCTGCCTCTGGGGTCCTCGAACAGATCGCACCTTTACCGGCTTCCTCTCGAATGTGCTGTCGTTTTAGATTTATTTGTTTAGTTTGGTTTTTCAAGACAGGGTTTCTCTGTGTAGCCCTGGCTGTCCTTGGCCTGCGACTCGCTTTACAGACCAGACTGGCTGGAACCTAAGAGATCCGCCTGCCTCTACCTCCCTAGTGTTGAAACGAAAGTCTCACGTTACCGCATCCCGGCTGGTTTATTAATTTATGTGTGGGTGCGCGCATGCGCCACACATGTGCAGTGTCCACGGGGGCCAGAAGATGGAGTCAAAGCTCTTTGAGCCGATGTTACAGGCGCTTGTGAGCTGCCTGATGCGGGTCCTGGGACTTGAATTCAGGCCCTCTGCAAAAGCGGTCAGTGCTCTTTAACCACTGAGCCACCTCCTGGCTATTGAATTTCTTTATTAATAAATTTATTTTATTATTATATCTCAAATTGGTTGGTTGATTTTTCGAGACAGGGTTTCTCTGTAGCTTTGGATCCTGCCCTGGAACTAGCTCTTGTAAACCAGGCTGGCCTCGAACTCACAGAGATCCACCTGTCTCTGCCTCTCAAGTGCTGGGATTAAAGGTGTGTGCCACCGCCGCCTGGCGCCTATTGAATTTCTTAATCCAGCCTCCTCTGCTGTCCCTTTATTATTTTTAAATCACATTTTACTGTGAGTGCTACATGTGCTATGTAAGTCAGAGACATTGGGAGTCGCCAGTTCTTCCAGATACAGGTTCTGGGCGTGGAACTCAAGTCAGAGGCTTGGCAGCAAGCTCCTTTACCCATTGAGCCAAGTTAACGGCCCTGCCCTCACCTTCATTTCTCAGTCTTCATTCACTCCTGCCTATACTGGCTTTGCAAAACTAAGGGAACCCAATCAGGAAGTGAGTTATTTTAGAAAATAAGGTGTTTAGCTGGATGTGGTGGTACTTCTGGTCCTTCATCCCACCTACTCCGGAGGCTGCGTTCAAGAGCAGGCGTGAGCACCATGTTGAAGTCGCCACCCCTTTCCTGCCCCCATCTGAATGAAAGTTTTATATGAGATAAACAGCTTCAAAGCTATTAGGTCTCTTTCTAAAGCTTTATTTTACTGCTATTTGTGTGTGTGGGTGTTTTGCTTCCGTGTATGTGTACCGCTTGTATGCTTGGTGTTCTGGGATCCCCTGGAAATGGTTAGAAGCACCCTGTAGGTGCTGAGAATCAAACCCAGGTTTTCTAGAAGAGCAATGGTTGAGCTATCTCTCTAACCCAATTATTAGCTGTCTTGCATAAGAGAACAAAATGATGGGGTGGGGCAAAGTGTGCTAGGAGATGGAACTGTTCACTTCTTCCTTCAGAACAAGCTAGGGCAGATCATAGCAGCGCCCGCCCTTAACCCCAGCACTTGGGAGACAGAGGCAGGTGAATCTCTCAGTCTGAGGACACCTGGTCTACATAGAGAGTTCCATCCAGGGCTCCATTGAGAGATCCTGTTCAAAAAAGAAAAGAAAAGAAAAGAAAAGAAAAGAAAAAAGAAAAGTAGAGACTTCCACTCGTATACACAGAGAGGAATGAACCAGTGCGGAAAGATTTCATGCCCTTGCTCAGAGCACCCATGTTTCGTGTTTAATGCTGGAGTGCTGTCATTTTCCAAGGCTTTTAAAAATTGTTTATGCTTCCTCAGTTCTGCAATGCAGCCTCATTAAATACCGGGCCTACACACACAGAGCTCAGAACAAAATAGCAAGCAGGCTTTGGAGATTTTCAACTGGTCAGGGATCTACTGAAATTTCATCTTCAAGTTGTTCTTAAATACCGAACTACAAGGTTTTGGAGAAGCGGCTCTGCGGCATACAAGACCCTGAGAGGTGAAGGTACAGAATCCTGCCCTCCAAAAGGGTGGAGAAGCTAGTGGTGGAAGCCAGGCATTGGACAGACCTCCGCAGGCAATTACTTCTTTCCTCTTTGTCCCTTTCAAGCCAGGAGACCTGGGGTTACAGTCTCCTTCCTGTCAAAAGGGGGCAATCACATCTTTCTAGTTACTCCAATCTCTTAGCATTGATGTAATGATCAAATGAGATAATGGCTCAGAAAGTGCCTGGGAAAGACTGTGAAAGTGAGGTGTTTTCTTAAGTGCCTTGGGAGACACAAAGATAAATGTGACCTAATTCCTACCCTGAGGAAAGTCACAGTCGATTGAGAAGATACACATGCGAAGGAAATAATCCAAGGCGGTAAATAGGTGTCGAAAGGGCAGTTTAGATTATAAATACCAGGGAAACTTCAAGAGAGGACAGACATTTTTCTGCAGAAAGAGATAGAAAAGACTGCGAAATCAATCTTATGTTCAGTGCACCTGAAAGGAGAGGGAAAAAAAAATTGAAAACATTTAGGACAAATGAAAGAGTCCAGCAATTTGAGGCAGAGACAAGGTCTATGGAGGTGCCAGGAGCAGGCCATCTGAAACTGTGTGGGGAAGGGTTCCTGGATGAGCTAGCTCTCTTTGAAATGAGTCAGCCCTCTAGACTCTAGAGAGCTGAGAAGATTAGAGCAGCATCCTAGCAGGAATGCAACAAAGGCGACACAGACTTGAATCGCAGCACTTGAGAAGTAGAGACAAGCGATCCTCTGTAAGTTCAAGGCCAGTGTGGTCTACATACCGAGTTCCAGAACAGTGAAGGCTACATAGAGAGACCCCGCCTCAACAAAACAAACAAAAATGGAAATTCGACAAAGAATTGCAAAAGAACATTCAAATCAGACCGCCTTAAGCAAGAACCCCACCTCTGCCCCATGCTTCCTGCCAACCTCCTTTCCCATGTATATATATTTTTAAAGGACACAGCCTCGTTGAGGTATTTTGGCATAAGATATTTAAAGAGTTCTGCTGTCACTGCACATTGTTACGAGCCAGCTGCTGATCACTGACCAGCACTGCAGCCCACACCACCATTCCCAACATTCAGAAGGCTGAAGCAGGAAGGATCCCAAACTTGAGGACAGTCTGGGCAACTCAGTGAGATCATGTCTCAAAAGCAAACAAAAGAGGGTTTGGGGATGTTGTCAAGGGATGGAGATGCTACTTGAAGGTGTAGCATCCTGGACTCAATCCCCATTATCCGAAATAGATACATGCATATTTACATACGTACATACATATGTGATTGTTTTGTTGTTTTCGTTTTGTTTTGTTTTGAGACAGGCCTTAAACTTACAAATGTAACCCAAGGCTAGCCTTGAACTCCTGATCCTCCTGCATTCACATTTGATTATTCACACAAATAAATAATCAAATTTAAAAATAAAAATATAATAAAAATAGTGGGCAGAGTGGTAAATACCTTAAATCCAAGTATTGGGGAGGCAGAGGCAAATAGATTTCTGTGAGTTCAAGGCCAGCCTGGTATAAAGAATGAGTTCCAGAACAGCCAGGACTGCATAGAGAGACCCTGCCAACAAACTAACAAACAGGGCTGGAGAGGCGGCGCAGCAAGAATACCTGCTGCCTTCTCCGAACGCCTAAGTTTTGTTCTGAGCACCCACTTTGGGCAACTTACAACCTCCTGGAACTCTGTAACTCCAGTTCCAGGAAACCCACCACCCTCTTCTGTCTTCTGTAAACATCCACACACATGTGTACATACACACAGACACATACATGCATATAAATTAAAAATACTATAGGCTGAGCCAGGCAACGGCAGCACACTTACTCCAAGCGCTTGGGAGGCAGAGATAGGCAGATCTCTGTGAGTTCGAGGTCAGTCTGGTCTACAAAGCAAGTCCCAGGAAAGTTAGAGCTACGCAGAGAAACCCTGTCTCGAAAAACAAAAAACAAACAAACAGACAGACAAAAAATTATAGGCTGGCAGACACCTTTAATCCCAGCCCTTGGGAGGCAAAGACAGGCAGACCCTATGAGCTGAGGTCAGAGTAGTCTACAAAGTGAATTTTTCTAGAATCTAATGTAAGTGGAATAAATTAAAATGTGTTCTTTCGGGGGTCTGGTCTTTTGCTCGCCATAATTATTTTGACAGGTCACACATCTTGCTGTGTGACCCTGGCTACTGAAATCAAAGGTGTGCCCCCAACAAGACCAGCCTGATTGTTTCTGAAATAACATGAAATCTCTGAAAGCTTAGTTTGTTTGGGCTTATATTCAAGGAAGTGCTTCCTCTCCCTTTCCCCCAAACACCTACCTCCACAAGCGGGATGTAGCGGGCCTTACTGGTTGACAGAAGGAATTTTGAACACTCCTTCAGCACTTGCTCCACTGGTCCACGCAATGTCGGGCGTTTATAGGCTGCTGTCTTCTCTGTACTATTGGCCTCACCTTTGGCTCGGCCACACTCCACATGCAAAGCACAACCATTCAT